GTCCCTCAGCGCAGCCTCTATCCGTGACGCGCTCGCAGATCGTGGTAGGAGCGGCACTTTCTCGACACCAAAGGGGGTGCGCAGAGGGTGGTCCCTCAGCGGGGCCTCTATCCGTGACACGCTCGCAGGGCGTGGCAGGCGCGGCACTTTCTCGACACCACTGGGGGGGGCGCAAAGGGTGGTCCCTCAGCGGGGCCTCTATCCGTGACACGCTCGCAGGGCGTGGCAGGCGCGGCACATTCTCGACATCACATGGGGGTGCGCAGAGAGTGGTCCCTCAGTGCGGCCTCTATCCGTGACACGCTCGCAGAGCGTGGCAGGCGCGGCACTTTCTCGACACCACTGGGGGGGCGCAGAGGGTGGTCCCTCAGCGGGGCCTCTATCCGTGACACGCTCGCAGGGCGTGGCAGGAACGGCACTTTCTCGACATCACATGGGAGTGCGCAGAGGGTGGTCCCTCAGCGGGGCCTCTATCCGTGACACGCTCGCAGGACGTGGCAGGCGCGGCACTTTCTCGACACCACTGGGGGGGCGCAAAGGGTGGTCCCTCAGCGGGGCCTCTATCCGTGACACGCTCGCAGGGCGTGGCAGGCGCGGCATTTTCTCGACACCACTGGGGGGGCGCAGAGGGTGGTCCCTCAGCGGGGCCTCTATCCGTGACACGCTCGCAGGGCGTGGCAGGCGCGGCACATTCTCGACACCACATGGGGGTGCGCAGAGGGTGGTCCCTCAGTGTGGCCTCTATCCGTGACACGCTCGCAGAGCGTGGCAGGCGCGGCACTTTCTCGACGCCACTGGGGGGGCGCAGAGGGTGGTCCCTCAGCGGGGCCTCTATCCGTGACACGCTCGCAGGTGCGTGGCAGGCGTGGCACATTCTCGACACCACATGGGGGTGCGCAGAGGGTGGTCCCTCAGTGCGGCCTCTATCCGTGACACTCTCGCAGATCGTGGCAGGAGTGGCACTTTCTCGACACCACAGGGGGTGGTCCCTCACCGCGGAGTGGCGCTTTCTCGATCGTGGCAGGAGAGGCCCCATAAAGGCTGCGCAGGGGGTGGTCCCTCACCGCGGCCGCCATGCGCGACGGTCGTCCAGGGCATAGCAGGCGTGGCACTTTCTCGACACCATAGAGGGTGCGCAGGGGGTGGTCCCTCACCGCGGCCGCTGGCTGGCTCGAATTTGTCCTCGATGGAAGATAGAAGGCTAGGAATAGGGAGGAGGTTCAAGCAACATGGCGTTGGATGACACAGAGGGGAACATTCGCGACGAGGGCTGAGAAAGCAGATTTGCGCATATATGATAAACTTAAGCAAGCACATCAGATTTAACCTCATGCCCGTGAGAATAAACACTAGGGGATAATAAAGTTCGGGGTTCAGGGAGAGATAATAAAAGTAGCCCAGCAGACCTCAGCATAATCTCGAAGTAAGAGATGATCAAGAGGAGACCAAGCCGAGCACGTTTTGAGACATCCTTGGCGTTTAGTTCTCATAGAAATATCTTCAACCATGGCTTATCTCTCATGAACATTGTTTTTTGCAAGTGCTCGTGTAGGGTAGCTCATGTGCCTCAATTTCCATGGATAATCAACCCCAGAGATAAAAACGTTCAGGCGAGCGTGGGGACAGAGAGAAATATAAAAGAAGACGAATACAGTAGAAGAATACTAAGAAAGAAGAAGAAGCGGATAATAAGAAGAGGACTAAGAAAGGAAGAATCCAACGTTCCAAATCTATCAATTTTAATTTACAAACGCTTTATGAAAATTGATGTTTTAAGTGCTCGTGTAGGGTAGCTCATGTGCTTCATTTTCCATGGATAATCAACCCAGGGATAAAAAAGTTCAGGCGAGCGTGAGGACAGATAGAAATATAAAAGAAGAAGAGGAAAGTAGAAGAATAATAAGAACATTGCTCGTTTCGTTTGAGTCTGCCTCCCAAAATTATTGGTTTCGCTTGACACATCCTTAAAAAGTGTGATCGCTTCGCTTGATGTTGCTATATAACATCGCTTGATGTTGCTATCTCAACATAGCGTTTCGAGGTGATAATGAAGTTCGGCCTCAGCGCTCGCCGCCCAATTTGAATTTTGTATAGGGCGACGATAATCAACTCTAAACACTGAAGGGGGGGTCCCTTTATTATCATCGGCGTGCGGTTAAATTAAGTATGTGGGGTTCCTCGGTAGCGTAATTTTTCCCCTTCGTATTACTACTCTTCTTATTCATTCCATCAACACTACTACGACTATTACTACTACTGCTATTGAGTACCGCTTGCACTTCTGAGTAGCTCTACTGCTGCTAGGTATTATTTGTTGCTTCTATCTTTATCACTCGTATTCAATCTTAATGAAGACCTAACACTCCTTATGCCTAGTTTTCTATCGAGGGGCAGG